GGGGACTTGAGATAAATGGATTAGCATTGTTAATCCTTGATTTGAGATTGAAAACCCTTGGAATGATATTTTGAAACATGAAAATGGATTAGGGCACACTAATTGGAAACCTTGGTATTTAATTGAGATTGAATTGCTTTAGGAATGAGAATTATCCTAGAGTGTTGTCTTGCATCAATGATCGCTGAGGATTCAAACTGAAGGGGCTTGAGGAAGCGGAAGCCGGAAAAGGCAACGCTAGTCCCAGGTTTGATAGTGCGAGGTAGGATTTCATCCCTTTTCCTTGTGAGCCTGTTTTCAAAAAAGGATTTTGGCCTTGAAAATGTTTTAAAGAAAGGGATTAGTTTGTGAAAGAAAAACGCTTTGAAAACCATGGCTTGTTTAGTCATGGAACCTCATGGCTTGTCCAGTCATGGGGCCCGCGGCTTGAGTAGTTCGTGGGGTCATATTAACGATTTTAAAATGTTAATGAATGATTTCTTAATAAAGAGATCTTGTGAACCGGTAAGAGAGTCTATTGCTGTAAGCCTAGATAGGATGCGGAGAGTGCATCCTCGGGGGCAGAACCCAAAACTCGGTCCGGGTAGGCGAGGCACTTAGTTAGGTAAGGAATTTGTACTAATTAGTTGCTAAAGCCTGTAAAACGGTTATTTTCAGTTATATTTCCTTTGAGAAAAAGGATGTGAAGTTCTGACTGTCTGTTGGAACTGAATGTCTTATTTTATTTACTTATTCATTTATTTATTTCCTCACTCACTTATTATTCATTTATTTATAACGTTTATTTCAAATTATATCCTACTGGGCCTTTCGCTCACGTTTTAAGTTTTAAATGTATTAAACCTCTCCCAGGAGATTCTAGGGGCGGTGCATAGTAGCTGGATATTTGCTACGGAGCAGCTGAGTTGTTCTACTGTTGGAATCAAGTGAGGATTGTGGTCATCCTCTTGGAAAAATGTAAGGAATTTGAGAATTTTGTAAACGTATGTAATATTTGGATTTACTAGACTGTGGTTGATGTCTGTTGTAATGATTATTTACATGAGCATGTATGTATGATACTGTATGTCCTATGAGGTGGAGTCCTGTGTGTCAGAGGCTCCAAAATTCTGTAATTTATTTATATTTCAATGCAGTTGAGTGGGGCTCGTCTGGGAATCTCCTTTATTAACCCCTAATCGAGCTCCACGTCACCCACCCCGTTTGGGGGGCGTGACATTTATATATAGCAAGTGTACCATGTATACACAATGTTTTGTGTGTACAACGTCTGAGTTTTTGAGCTAATCAGGTATGGCCGATGTAGGAAAAAGATGGTGGGTACCGTTGGGACCTCTGCTAAAGAGAAGGTCCAGACTCTGTATTTTTGGAGGAGCCTTGAGACTTCATTTCTCCACCACATGCGTGGAGAGAACTACTTTCAAGAGCTTCCATAGAGGTGATCCTTCGTTGCTGGGGTCATTGAGCTGTGTGTAGAGCTGCATGAGTAGACAGTTGAGAGCGATTTGGTAGAGAACTATTTGGCATCATAAGTACCAAATGTCATCTTCTGTGATTAGACCGAAAAGGTAAAGGTTGTAGATGGTTAGATATGGTTGTTCTGTATTATACAGGTTCTTGGTTTGGGGATTCTGGGTCCTATTACAAATGCTGGTTAAATAATAAAAGAGATGGGTTTTTGTATAGGACTGGATATGATGAGGTCTGGGTGAATTGCTTAGACCAGGAGGGAAATGATGGTTACTATCTATAGGGATACATAATGAAGACTTTGACACTATTCACATGTGTCATTACTCAATATGTCAAAGAACATAATATCATAAATAGGAGTTTATTAATTACTCAGAATTAAGATTAATACATATATGACCATCATTGATTAATATTGAATACTCTATTTTATAATGAAATTTATTAGAGATTCATAATTAATCGCGTTCCGGTCCTATGTAATCATATTACATAAAATGCTTTCATTCCAATAATCTCATTATTAACAATCTAGGATAAGATTGTTTCATTCAGAATGTAATGAACCGCATTAATAATTTTAAATTAAAGATCTCAACTTTAATTTATAATTACGGACAAGTTTAGATTATTTTATTTCAAACATTATCCTTTGCATATAACAATTATATACAATGTTTAAAGTTACATTTAAAAATAATCTAGAGATTTTGATATTTATAAAACATCACATGTATGCAAAATAATATTGAAAAAATTCCTCATTTCATTGATAATCAGTAAAATATTTACATCTTATATGATTTATAGGCATATATCCCAACATATATAACTGTACCATATACACAACATAGTATAGGGACAGTTTTCTTTCTCAACAAATTTAGATGGATCTATTTCTTAGAAATTAAAAAAAATGCGGTGTTTAAGACTTCAATTTAAAGGTTAGGAAAAGGGTCATTTTGTTAAATAAAAAAAATACATATACATCTTTTTAATAATTGCCCATATATTTTACCCTATAATACTCCATATTGTTATTCATATACAATGCTGTGTATGAAACAGGTGTTTGGTTTATGCACTGCCATTTTGATGTCCATCTGAGTTGGGGGCTGAGGATGGCATGGATTGTCCTAGATGGGGAGCTTCCTAATCAGAAGCTGCCTCCACCACCGTCAGATCTTCCAAAGTGTTGACCATGATGAAGAGTTTCTTAACAATTTTCAAACCTTTTTGTTTGATTTTCATTGTGTTTGGTAGGCTATATCTGTTCATTAAATAAGGGAAGGGAACAGTGGATGTTTTTGTACAAAGTTTTGAGCTTTCAAAAGTGCTTCTTTATGGAGTCTCGGTAATAATATAACTGATAAATTCTCTCCCAAAAACGAGGTATTTCTTCAGCATATGAATATGCTACACGTAAATGACAACATGAAAGTTTGTCTGATTTGTTGGCAAACAATAATTTTTGACAGATTCCCTAGTAGTGGTACAATATATTTTAGGGATGCAACAAACTTAAAGTAAACGCTAATACATACAGTTAAACAAATATAAACGTTTATCAAATAAAGAGCGTTGCTATACGGCTCGGTTATTTTCAACTACGCATACAGCTTCGCATGGCAGATTGACAGCACCATTTACATTCAAAAAAAAAAATAGCACATTCATACTCCACGCTCCACTATTTAGATTCATTTATGCTGATTTCTTTTGAAATTAGAGACTAGAGAAGAAAAATAAAAGAAGAGGATTTTAGAAGAAAAACTAAAATCATTAAAATCGTAAAGTTATGTGTCTCGTGTTGTAGGGTAAAATCCAGAATTGTAAATTAAGCATTAAATATGGTCCATGTGTCATAAACAAAGGTATTAAAGTGATCGAGAACAGCTCTGTCATAACAGTCACGTCGGATGATAATTCTTTTAATAACAGACTGCTAGTTAAGAGAGTAGCATGTATAGGAGGTCGACCATTTTGAGGAAATATAAAGGACAACATGAGGTTGACCGCACTAACAGCTACAGGCAAAGATGGTTCTTAGAGTGTTTATGAAGTCGAGTTCATGCAAATCGAGAGATGTGAAATTTACTCTGTGATTTGCTATTTGTAATTCAAATATACAAAATTTAAGCAAAAAATCATCCTGATTGATTGTCGATCTTTCAGAAAATTATCCCAAAAGATGAGGAAAATATCCCCTAATTAAAAAGAAAAAACAGCTGAGACGAATGTTAACAGATATAAATAAGGGATTGCATGTTAAGAAATCCCAGAGTCTGATTCAAAGCAATTAGAGTGTGTAATCCTCTCCAAAAATAGTGAATTATCTCTCTCCATATTGGATATAGCTCTTAAATCAAGAATGAATCACTTAATTCTTGTGTGTTCTTACTTTTAAATTGCTTTCAACCATAATTTTGATCATAAAAACTCTCGCAATCCGTTTTAAAACTTGCTAGATTTCTGTTGACAAATATATACTGTCAACATCTCATATTCCGTTTATTTTTCAGAGTTAGATTAATTTGAAATTATTTTATCAACTCTCTTTAAGATGTTTTGGGTTGTCTTTTTTTTTTTTAGAGGAAATACAAAACGTTTTGTTTTATTCGTCCAAGTGAATTTCGGAAGTTGATTTTATATTTATTTATATGTAATGTTGATGGTGAAATTCATCAACAGTAATATAACAATTTTCAAACGGTTTGTGCAAATTTAATTATCTAAAACACGATTAAATGCAATCAAATAGTAAGAACACACAAAAATTATAGTGGTTCATCCTTGATTTAAGAGCTACGACCAATGTAGGGCAGGGAGAATTCACTTTTTTTTTCAAAAAAATTACACACTCTAATTGCTCTCAATGAGACTTAAGAATTTCTCGACCTATAATCCCTTATTTATATCATTCACCATCATCCTTGTTTGTTTCTCTATTTAATTCGGTGATATTTCCTTCATCTTTTGGGATAGTTTCCCAAAAGATGGTGATTATAATCAATTAAGACGATTTCATTGCTTAAATTTCGTATATTTGACTTACAATAGCAAATCTCAAAGTAAATCTCGCATCTCTCTGCACTTGTGTAGACTCGACATCATAAGCACTCCCAGAACTCTCTTCGCCTACAATTGTTGGTGCGGTCGACCTCATATTATCCTTTGCATCTCCTCATTGTTGGTTTTGAAAATGATTTTCTATGTGGAAGCATTTATCTACAGATCGTGTATAATAAAACATTTTCATAAAACTTTTAAAGCACTCTATAGAATATATTAATTTACACCAATTAGAATCGGATTAGGAATTACCTAACGACTGATTAGGATGATAACTTGACTTCTTCGAACACGAACAATCTTTACTCCGAGCTTATTTGGAATACCGAATCTTCCTCGTCAATTCCTTGAATCTACGAAGAACGTGTGTGTGGGCACACCTGAAACAAAATATGATTCGCACTCAAAACACTCAAGTCTTCCATGAACATTAACACATGTGCGATGATGAACTAGGAATGAAGAACTTTTCTTCTCTTTTTCACATAGTAAAATTCAGCCACAACAACACTTGGAAGCCAAAAATTACATTCTCCAATTTTCTACAACCTCCTATTTATAAAGTACTTCTTAGAGTCCTTACGAAACTTTATCTTATCTCTTAATATAAGGTTTCAGAAAATAAGATATAATATTTAATCTTAAATCCTATTTAAAATTAAATAAAATTCTCATTTAATTTTGGAACAATTTTGTCTCTCCTGCTGCAGATAATGAGGAGATAAAAAATTCTTTTTTATTCAGTTGTCAAATTTTGACTCAACTTTAAATTCAAATTAAAGTCAAACTTAAATTCAATTTGAATTCCAATTGGATAACTTACCAAATAAGTCAACCAGATAACTTAGAGAGCATGTAATTAAATCGCAAAGGGATTATAACAGTGCTGGGCGCGTGACACTTATGTTCTAAAATTTAAATTAAATAATCACATTATTTAATATCTAATTAATTATATTTGAGTGTTTTATTTAGAATTCTATAATTCTAAAAATAATTTCCAGTTTGTCCTTAGTGTCTCATAGATTTACAAGGATGATACGGGGACTCATGGACCTATAATTCTGAGCTCTAATGAAATTAATAATTAATCAAACTCTTTAATTAATTAATTATATTAATTTCAAAGTTACTCCACTATTATCTTGGAATTGCACTCTCGTAATTATAAATATAGTTTACTTCCTAACTTTGAAGTGTCTATTTGATATAACCATTACATATTGATCAATCCTCTATAAATAGTTCATAATTAGAGTCAGGTGAAATCTGTTTACCTCCCTAATTATATCTCTATCCTTGAGTACCATTGATTCTCTAATGAATAGTATATTCATAAAACAAATGAATACAAGCTCGTTACCGATTCAAGTACCGAATCAACCCTTAAGGAAATTTTTTATCTACTTCTTTATTCAAGAAGGAATGGATTTCATCTCGTATATTAACATTCCTGGCTATCTACTTCATCATGTCTCCAAGATATAAAGAACACTGAGTAAATCAAAAGACACAAACCTATAAATAGAAGTCTGCTAATAACTCAAAATTAAGATCATTCTATGTATGACCATCAATAGACTTAATTCGAATTTCTATACTTACTAGAAATTATCAAAAATTCAAATCGTGTTTGTGTCCCGGTTCTACATAATCATATTATGTGTAATACACTCATGTAATATCCCTCCATATTAATAGTGCGGATAACACCGTTCCATTCTTAATGGGATAACATGTATTAGTAATGTTTTAATTAAAGATTCTGAAACTTTAATTAAATTCATTATGAGCATGTTTCGATTATTATCCTTAAATATTATCCTCTCGTATATAACTCTTATATACAATATTTAAAGTTACATAAATAAACGCGGAATTTTTAATGATATTCATAAAGTATTCAATAATACACACATAAATAATGAAATTTCTCTTTTATCATTTATTACATCTCATGCTTTTAGGACATCACTCCCAACAATTAAAGCAGTTGACCTCTTATGTATGCTTAATTAGCAGTTTGCTCCTAAGAGAGTTGCCATTCGACGTGGCGGCTAAGGCTGAGCAGTCATCAATCACTTAGGCCTCGTTCACTTTGCAGATTCGAGTTTTCAATTCGAGCTGAGATTTGACATTTTCTGAGAGCTTTTTACTGTAGCAGAAAAAGTTAGATGTGAAATTTTCTGAGAGCTTTTTACTGTTAGAAACCTAAAATTGAAAACTCGAATAGGTGAAATGAACGAGGCCAATACTCCCATTTATGACGCGTGGACCCCATTCAATGCCTGGTGTAGGGTTCAAAATTTTATTCTACAACATGTAACATAAGATTAGATCAATTAGGCTTCACTTTACCATTGCGAGAACACACCCATGTCAATTTTGGCCACCTGCCGGCCACCGCATTGCTGGTTCTCAAGGTCACTCGTAGCCAATGGGAAAGCTTCCCTCATGCTTTGCTAATTCTATTGATACTGTTGTGTTCCAAATTGCTGAAAATTGTTAAGGGTATGTTTGTTTCTCAAAACTAGAGTTGCGTAGGTGAGAAAAAAGCATCATAGTAAAACAGTTAAATTTAAATTTTTATGAGAAAAATACTATAATAATAAAATTTAAATTATAACTTAAATTGTGAAAATAACAAGCTTAAATTTAAAAAGAAATATGTGTCAGTTTTTGTCATCCTTTTAATTTTCAATGTCTACATTATTGCTAAACGGCTCGTGGAGCCACAACTCCTTAGATTGACAAGAGGAGCTGCGGCTTCGCGAGCCATTATATTTTCGTCTTTTAAATGCTTTATTAAATTTTTTTATTTAGTATAAGTGAGGAAAGGAGGGAGCGGAAGCATTGAGGAATAGGTCTCTCTCACGTCTATAAATTTAGATCATTTTATTAGTAAAAAGATTTAACCAATCCGTTAAAATTTAATTAAAAAAGTTTTTTTATCCTTTAAAATAAATTATTAATGAATTGTAAAATTAAAAAATATAGTAATTAAACAAATAATTATCATCTATATTTTTAACTCACTTTCTCACCAAACAGTATAAAGAATTAGTATAATCTTCTCCATCATTTATATTCTTAATCTTTTCAACTCTCCTTATCATTTCTCCTCTCC